TATATATGTGAAGTTCGGCGGTAGAAATGTTTGTGCGCAACCTCTCTGTTTCTCTATTTTTTACTCTCTTTCTCTCTCTCTCTCTCTCTCTCTCTCTCTCTCTCTCTCTCTCTCTCTCTCTCTCATGCTTGTGTTCACGTTTGGTGGCAGAAACATTTGAGTCCAACCCCCTAAAACATTTTAAGGAAAAGCATTTAAGATGCATGGTAAATAACGGCAAGGATATTGCAAATTCTTGGTCATGTTGTTGCAGGGTGCCTCAAGTAGAAGAGAATCGAAGACAACGAGGGTCTTTATATTGGATAGAAAAGCAGTCGAAGGCTTGCAGATCCATGTTGGAAAGATTTCTAGCTTGTGAGGGACTAACCATTCAAATGTGTGCGTGGCAGCAAGTATTGAGTTTTCTTTTCAAAACATATTTCCATATGTTTGTGTGTAAATTTCTTTGATTTTGTACAAGGTGTGAATTGTTTTGTTTTTTTTATGTGTAAATTTTGTTGTTCTTTTTACAGGATAGAGATGACAGATGCAGGAGGGGCAAGCACTTTTGCAGATGGTGGAAGAAAATTGAAAAAAGTTGACGGTGAAAAAGTACAAGTCAAAGTGATGGAAAGTGGAGGGGGAAGAGGAGGTGGCACAAGAAGAGTCAGAGACATAGGAGGCGGAGTGGGAAGAGGACGGAACGAGACTGCAGGTGAAGGGGGAAGAGGAGCAGCAAGAGAGGAAGCAAGTGGAAGGGGAAGAGGAGCGAAAGACACAACTGGCGGAGTGGGGAGAGGAAGAGTAAAAGAGGGAGTAGGTGGAGTGGGACAGGGCAGAGGAGGCAGTACATCAAACACCCGCCCACAAAGAACTCAAATTGAGAGGGGAAAAATGCCATCGATGGGGGAGGAGGAGGAGGAGGAGGAGGAGCAAAAAAAAGAGAAAGAAAAGAAATCGGGGGACTCGTTGACTCCAGTACAGCTGGCAAACCGAGCTCACACGACGATTACAAATATCAAACGAGATGTGAATGAAACCTATGGGATGGTGAAAGATTTGGAGAAGAAGCGGAAAGAAGAGGTGGGCAGATCGAAAAAGTTTGCCCAGGTGACGAGAGACAAGGTGGATGATCTGCAAGAAAACTGGAACGAGGAGGTGGTGAAATTGAGAAACATGTACGAACAAAAATGGAAAAAAAAAAAAAAATGGATAAAGAAAGATTTGGAGGCGAGAGGTGAGGAGAGAAGAAGAGCATACGAGGAGGGAATGAAAGAAGTGGGGGAAAAGTTGGAAGCAGTAAAAGAGAAAATGAAAGAGATCGAGGAGAAGGAATTGGAGTTGGAGAAAAGGGAAGCGGAGGTGAAAAAAAAAGAAGGGAAAATGATGGAGTGTGGAACTGAAGAGGTTAAAGCTGCAGGCGAGCGGGAAGTCTTTGTGGCACAATCAGCAGAGAAAGGAGATGGAAAGGAAGAGGTGATGAAACTCCTTGCAGAAAAGGTGGAAAGTTTGCAGATGTCAATCACGCAAATGAAGGAAGGGGGAAAAGGGGTAGGGAAAAAAATGCAAAACAAACAGAAAAGAAGGTGGGAACATGCAAAGGGAAGAGAAGGGAGAAAAGAAGAAGCAGAGAAAAAAGAAGAAGAGGAAGAGAAAGGAGGAAGGAGTATGCAAACAGGAAGGGGAGAGGAGGAAAAAGTGGCAAAGCGACGAAAATCGAATCGCGACTTAAAAAGGGAAGAATGGATCAGCAGGAAGTTTTGTTGGTATTGCGAGGCGCATGGCCACGCACCTCCCGTGCACTGTGATGACCTTCGTTTTGATAAGGAGAAAGGGTATGTAAAGCATGCAACCCAAGAGAACGGTCGCATCGTTTATATCGATTAGATGAACAAAACCATTCCGAGAAAAGAGGAAAAATTATTTCGGAAGATTTTGTACCAACGACTGCGCCGCAAAGGCATGCTTGCAGGTGGGTTTAATTTGAACTTGTTCACGAGGGAAAGCTTCGGGGATATAAAAAAGGAATGAACGAAATGAGTGTTTGTCGTTGATGTATTGTATGTCTTTTGATTATATGCTTCAGAGTCTGAAATGCTGTGACGGTTTTGTTGTGCTGTGTACGATTTTATGTCTCATATTGATAACATTGGTGCAGACAATGGATGAAAATGAGAGGTGGTGAAAAGAACCTTTCACCTCCATGTGGTACGCGAGGTTAATGAAAACGTTAACAGACGGAGTCGGTCAAATGAACCCGTTAATGTTGTTGTACGTGGTGTTAGAGGACGTCAGAGAACATAGCGGGGCATTATCACTCACTGAAATATACGCTTCGGGAATGTTGATGTTGGAAGACACAGTGGAGGATATAAGAATCGAGTGGAGAGAAGCAGCAACGGGGGACACGTTATACCCATCGTCGCTATCTCCGCGGGAAGCTATAAAGCGGTTAGAAGCCTACAACAGCTTCACGCACCCCCGGGCTTGGAACCCGGTACGAATCCTCGAGCGCAGAGTCGAGGCCGCCGAACACGTCCCCGTGTATCACTGTAGCAGTCTACGTGTAGTTGTTGCCTCGGAAGAGGTTATTGAGGGCATTCTAAACGAGGACGAAGTCGGTGCTTGCAGCATCTGTGCAAGCATTTCGAAAGTAGTCCGGTGGGCGACAATCGGAGGTGACCAAATCTCTTCGTGATGGTTGCATGCCCTTTTCGGCGGGGAATGCGAAATGACCTACGGCAAGTCGGTCGCACGTGTAGGCAAGATAAAATCGGACGCTTTGGGGGAGTTGCCGGTCGGGAACGGGTCGGCGGGTCCTCGGAGTAATAAGGCGCGTCTTTATTGGCGTCCGTGTTTCCAAATCCCCGTATGGGACGAGCAGGAGGGCGGGGGATACAAAGAGGTGAATGTCGTGAGGGCGGACGCAATGAAAAAGAGTAATCCGTGGGGCGTTAAATCCTCGGTTGTCCGGTGATCGTAAACCTGTGATTGCGATTTTGCGATTGATGGATAGAAAGTACTACGAGGAGTTGGAACAAATACAAACACCAGATGAATATTTATTAGGATACGTGGAACGAGTGGAAGCATGCAATATAGTAGAACGGGTAGGTGCTTTGAATATATCTCATGAGAAGGAAATAGGATTGCATGCTACAGTTTGTGTCGGGCTTGTGGGCGGTGGATGCTGCGGAAAAGAATACGTCATTCTGTTCGAGCATCGTGATATTGGTCAAGGTCGTAGCGATGGAACAACGCATCGGCTCATTGCAATGAACTTGGAGGAGTTTGCAATTCGCGCTTGCGAGATTTGGGAGCCGGTTGTGCGTAGCGAACCGAATTTTGAGGAGATGGATTACATTGTACCCCCTAGTTCTAGCGATGTGGAGGGTGGCATACCCTCTGGCGGGGGGGGGGAATACGAGAGAGGGAGAAGGGTCGAGGCAGATGATGAAGACAGGGGGATAGAGGCAGAGTTCGAAAGGAGACGGAGAGGGGATGTTGGACCTTTACACGAGGCGGAAGGTGATGAAGGAAGGGATGATGATGAACGGAGAAGCAGACAAGGACGGAACGAGGGGGAAACAGGAATAGATGCAAACGCACATGGAAGACTGAATGAGGTACGTTCACAAGAGAACATCGTCGAAATGACGGCGGAGGAAGCGCCGTTGGAAAGAAATAGGGGCAGGAGACGCATCCGAAGGGAACCCGTAGATGCCGTGGCAGAAGGTGCTCGGATGCCAGAAGAGGAAGGTCCGTGCCCGATTTTAAAAGAACATGCTGTAACGTGGAAACCCCATATATACAGCTTGTTAGGAAGGTCGACGAGCAGGGAGATAGTAGCAGCGGTAAGCAAAGGCGCATCCATCAAAGAGATGATAGGAAATGTGAACCGGTACTCGCAAGGGTGGAGACAAATGGTGGCGACCACGGAGATAATGAAAGGAATCAATTGCATATAGCAAGGAAGGTTTGCATATTACATAGAAAAAAAACAGAACGAAGATAGAAATCTTTCACCATATATGTCTTCGAGGGTATGGTTGGAGGACAAGGGACCGAGACATGCAAAAACATTTGTGGAGAGATTGGACGGGAGCCGCGTCGGGGGGGAGGAAATGGTCGCGACGAAGATGGTCGCTTTGAAGAGTATATGGAAAGCGCTGGTCGTATTTAAAATATGTAGCAGACACCCGTATCTGAGGTTGATACCCGCGAAGACTGACCCATGACCGATTGAGTCGCACGACTTCCACGTTGAAGACGCGAAAGGAATAACCGTAAGCGACAGGCTCGTTATATGCAAAAAAACAGCTTCGGAAGTTGAGAAACTGTTAGCGGGCGAGGAAGATGCATGGAGCGTGATGCCGCGCTATTTAAAGAATATGATAGAGGTAACGTACGAAGCCATAAAAGGTCATGGTTTGTGCTCGAACTTCCCATGCTCAGTGCCCGCCGGTGCATGCGGAGAGTTGTTAGCAATCACCGATCTGGATGACGTTGTAGTGAGACTGCAGGTTGCGGCCATGGAAAACGAACGGTGCACGAATTGTCAAAAAAAACATCCGAGATTGTCAGATGGAATGCGGGACCGGACTATTGGGGTCAGGATCGCTCAGGTTGATGGAATCGAAACAGAGCAGTACAAAGAAGTACATAAACTGCTCATGAAGGTTATAAAGGACACTGAAATTATCGGAGTGGAGGGTGCGAAAGTGCATTTAGACACTTTCTATGATGATGGGTTTGGAAGGATTGTCGCGGGCGTGTATGTCTTGAGGGGGGAAATATGTTCTATAGATATTGCGTCGATGTTGGCGAGAAAGGGCTTGGTCTTCGTGCATCCGACTCTCTGCCTGCGTACACAGTTGCACATAGAGCAAACAAATTCCAGATCCGTCGCAGAAAATTTCTTGAAGAAAGTCAATGAAGGAGCGAACGACGAAAACATCCCACGGGAAAGAAGTGAAAAAACATTTGACCACGTAGTAAGGACGTGGTTTCAATTGAAGAAGAACTACTCGAGAGAGTTGAGCTTGAAGGACTGCGTACAGAAGTTCGAAGAAGAAGGTGCAAGGTATACCAGTGACGTCATCGATTTCGTGAACTTGAATATGTGGAAGGGCATGCAGCGACCGTGGGTGTACAAAAAAAAGAAGGCGCAACGGCTAGAAAACACGGGAAAGACGACTCGGAAGGCGAGAAAATTGATGAGTCATTCACAAAGAGAATCCTGGAGCTGCAAACGAAGACGGAAAAGAGAGAATGACCGAGGCAGGCGGAGATCATTTGAAGGTTGCACAAACGAAGATGAGGATTCCGAGGAAGAAGACGAGGAGGAGGCAGAAGGAGAAGAAGAGGACGATGTATAAGCGAGAATTCTAAATGCTGAGAGGAAGGAGAGATACGCACGTAGCAAAGCCCGTCCTTTGTACAGGAGGAGATGCGAGAGGAGGGATAAAATCGGTGTAAGGAGGTTCCAACATAGAGGAGAGTAATTATCGTTATATTCGTGACGAAAGAGAAATGCGCAACGAGGAAACAAAGAGGATATTTCGATTTGTTTGAAGAAATGAGGAGGTTAAAGGTAAAGTTATGAACTTGATCCTGTGCCTGTGAAATTCTTAAAGTAGGAGGTTAGGAAGAAAGTGTTGCAGGGGGCTAGCACGATTGCATTTAGTCACGGTCATGCAACTCAAAGCGAGGAAGGAAGCAGGATGATTGTTGGGGTAGAGATGTTTATGGAGGGGGGGGAGGRGGGGGGCTAGGGAGGGGGGCTCGGGGGGGGGGGGGATATGTTTAGCAAGAGGGATATACCTAAGACATGGACGTATTATATTCCAACAAAATAAAGGTTTGATGTAATATGCGAAGAAAATCGAAATGTCAACTATTGCTTTGAAAGTTATACCGCACGGTTATATTGGATATTGTGGTTTGTAGAAATGAAATATAAAAAATGTTGAATGTTTTTAAAAGACAAGACAAGTAAGTTATTGCGTCCAAAAGACTGATATATGATGTGGTTTCATTGCTCTCTTCATCGTTGCGAACATGGGATAAAGAAGGATGTATACATTCCGAAGTCATTGTATCAAACTTATGTTAATAAAAGTAAAAATATTATTTTGTAGTTGTACATATGTATGTTAATTTGTAGTTATACATTGGAAGCAAGTACTTATAATAAGAGGAATGTTACTTGTATAATTGTGGCTTATTTGGACAGGTGAGTGAGTGAAGTTACTCCTCTTCGTTCTCAAGCTGGAGTCGTGACATGAGACCTTGGGGGATTTGATGCAGCGGTAATGAAAAACAATTTCGAAGGTACACCTCATGTATTTTGAAGTTGCAAGTAATTATGGTCAATTTCACGAAATTTGTATCATTGGGAATAATATAAAGTACAATTCTTTTTAAAAATGCACTAACAAGGATCCTTGTTGTGTTTATGATGAACGTGTGTGCAGGTCATGATTGTGGAGGTCATCATTGTGCAGGCCATCATTATAGGGTTCATCATTGCGCAATTCATCATTGTGTCTGCAAGGGAGGATACATGTTTACATCTAGGGCGCAGTACATCTAGGGTCGGGAGAGAAAGAGAGAGAGAGAGAGAGAGAGAGAGAGAGAGAGAGAGAGAGAGAGAGTAAAGGAGAGATGATTGAGAGAGAGAGAGATAGAGAGAGAGAGAGAGAGAGATTAGTTCGGTAGGGTTTGTGACCTGTTTTTTTTTTTTTTGTACGGCAGATGTACATTCAGTGCGAGGGTTGTGCCCTCATTTTGTTGTGTTCGGTGTGTTCGTTGATTCCGGTTGCCGAGTGAGGGATATAGA